TTTTAATGACATAATATAAAAATTATACTCGAAATCAAATTATTTGCTAGCAATCTCGAAAACATTAGGTTTCAAGTAGATAATAAACATATATGTTACCATCTTGTGGATGCATCTATTAAATTATTAAATATTTAAATGACACACATGGTGGATGAATTAATCCACACATATCACCTTGAATACATTCTAAGAATTTTAGAGATTCAACCTCAATTTTACTTGGTGATGGCTTAAGAATCAACCTGTCTTAAGAACATGCGGAACATGAAAATTCATTAAATTGAAGAATCTTCTAGCTCTTCAATAGATGTCCATATGAATTTTTAATAATTTCTCGCATCATGAAAGACTCAAAATAACACAACTAGTCATGTCACATAATAAAAGTATTTGAATTAGTAAACTTCTAGTTTACTATAGTAATTGTTTCAATCATTTCAAAATTTGTAATAAAGACTAGAAGAGAAAGGGGATAAATTTTTCAATATATATTTTTTATCCGGTATAATGATTATAATATATAATTATTCAAATTTGTTATCTTGATATGATATCAATTTAGATAAATATTTTTGAAACTCAATAAATTGCTATGAAACTTTGAAGAGAATAGTACATCATTTATAATAAATTCATCATTTCATATAATAATATATTTGCTCTTCCGGAGCCTTTAAATTATGTCACTTCAAGTAATAATATATCGACTCTTCTACGACCTTTAAAAGTTATCTCTTCAAGTAATAATATATTCACTCTTCTAGAACTTCAAATTTTGTCTTTCAAGTCTCTTTTAAAGCCTTCAAAATGTATCTCTTTAGATAATAATAAAGTCTTTCTTCTAGAGCTTTCTATTAGATTGATATTATCATATATAATATTAACATAAAATAAATAATCAAATAAATCAATACAAAATAAATGAATAAATATATTCCTCATAAACACAAACAAGTAAATAAATAGTAAAATAAATTTGTAACAATCACTATAGGATATAAATTATAAAAAATATAAAATATTTTATTTATAAATAGAAAAACTAATAAGTAATTAATTTCAATTACTATTATTTTGATATATAAAAGTGGCTTTCATATTTTAATCTTTATTTTTCAATAAGGCTTGAAAAGACTCAATGAGGTGCTTTTGTGTACGACAGTGTACATGACCAATAGTCATTCATTCTACATCTATAATATTTATTTTCAAAAAATTGACTTTATTTTTTTTCATTTTTCTTTTTTTTTCATGGTTATCCACTTCTAGTGGTGAGATATGATATTATGGTCCTCACAATTATAATGATAATTATTTCGATCATGTCCATGGTTATAACCATATCTTTGTCCGTATCTAAAATTATTATAAGTCGTCACATTCATTTCGGAGAACGAAGTAAATCCAATTAGATGAGATTTATTCCTTTTCATCAATAGCTTGTCACTTTATTTAGCCATGAGTAAATATGAAATCGATTCAGAATATTTCTTAAATTTATTTTCTCAATATTGCTACTGCATGTAGGAGCATATTCGGGACATAAAAAGTAGAGAATATTTTTTAGAATCAAGCACTCATAATCAATAATTCTTATTCGAAATATCAAGAGCCATAAAATCGGGTTTATGAGATTTGATATGATAAAAATTCTATAATATAATATATAATAATAATATTAAAAAATAAGAACAAACATAATAATAAAATTAAAGCTTTTCAAACAACATATATTAGATCATTAGATCTTGTATATTAAATTATTTAATTTTTTCAAACTTATATTCTACATATTGTTAGATTTAAAGTAAATGATAAATTAGATACATACCTCTTAATGATCTACATAATTTAGATCTTTTAGTAGACACTTATGTAGAAAAACTCCAATGATTGAAACAAATGATTAAGTCTTTTGGTGGATACATATCTCATGGTTTATTGTCTCGATTAGTTAGAACTTCATGCGATAACGTGTTATAAAATAAATAGAAATAATATGAGAATTGAAGAAATGGATGACAAGAACATGAAATCACTATAATGTGAATACAAGTGATAAGAACTTCAAAGTTTATATTATTCTCTCTAGAAAACTTGTACACCAACTAATGAACAATCAAACCTATTTATAGGGTTTAAAATTGAGGAGAGAATTGAAAATGACTATGAATAATCAATTGCATCATACTTTCAATTTCTCATATTGAATGATGAATTTAATCATATTAAAAATCATGAATAGTGAGGATATGAAAAGTAGATGAATATGATGATGGACATTCATTATTTCATAACACATTTCTACTAAAAGAGTGGCATAACCAACGGTAGATTCTGCTTATAATAATTTAAAATTATACTTGGCACTCCATAAGGGAGAGCGACCTGCTAATCAAGCACAACTCACGTGACTCATACGTGGCGTCGTTGTTATTATATTATATTATTTTATTATTAGTAGCAGTAATAAAGAAAAGAAAAGCAAAAGAAAAAAAAACAGAGAGAAATCTGGAGGAAAGAAAGAAAGGAGGCAGTCCGACAGGCACACACCTTAATTTTAGATTTTTTTTTTTTTTTTTAGACTCTCCCATCAATTGCTGTAAAAGGGAAAAAAAGTAAAATATAATTAGCCCCTTTATTTTAAAAAATAAATTAATTAGTCTTTTTATTTTAAAATTTAATTTTTTAACTAAGACAATGGTTAATTTAAAATTATTTTATTTCAAAAAAATATTCTTTTTTATTTTTTATTAAAATAAAAAATACTATAAATTAAAAAGAACAAATAAAAATTAAGTTATAAAGAGATAAATAATTAATTTTTAAAACAAAAAAAATTAATTAATTAATTAGTTTCAACACTAGAAAGACTAATTTATAATTGACTCAGGAGAAACAAAAGTCGTTTGAACCTTCCTAGACAATGGGTGGTGGCTAAAAGGAAGATGCCTATCTTGATGAGCCTATTTGATGGACACATGGCAGATGGTATTTATGACTTACGGAGCTGAGTTTTTTCTAGGAAGTAGAAAAGCACAAACTGCTGATATGGAATAACGTTCCATCTAGAAGACGTAGCACTTGGAGGTCATGGCTATGTCCGCACTTACCACCACCGTTATCTCCACGCAAAGCAGACCGAGACAGAAAATTCAACAGAAGTTTCTCCAACCTGTAGCGTAATAACAGCCTGAACAAGGGGCGGACCCAAGTACAATGCTACAGGGGCCCTGGCCCCCCTCCCTCCAATTTTTTTTTCCATGGAACATTTTATATCATACTCTTTTATTATTATTATTATTATTTATTTTATTCTACACACACCATCCTAATTCATGCTTTAATTGGTTTTTTTCCCAAGAATGCTTCAATTGGAATTTTAATAAACCTATGAATAAATAAGTGTATTTTTACATAAAATAATTAATTTTAGATCTTAAATAAGTGTAAAAATACACTTGTTTCAACAGAAAATATTCCCTATGCACAAATTTTTTTTTCTAAGTTCATAGAATATTCTTATACCTCATAAATGATTTTTCGATGCCCATTGGATAATTTTCAAACATATTTAAAATACTCAAAATAATTAATTTGCAAGAAAAAAGCACTATTCATGCATTGAAAATATTCATTGAACATCATAAAATTCATCCAATGGCACATAATGATCTGGCACCCTTCTAGTAAATATTCTATGCAAATAGAACATTTTTCATACACATTTAAAATACTCAACATTTATTTTACTTAAAAAATTACTATTTATGCATCGAAAAACGGATAAAATATTCACCTAGTACAAAAAAATTATCCTTAGTGCATTGAATATTCTAGCATCCTCATGGCAACTATCTTATGCTCATGGAATAGTTTTCATACATCCTTAATATATTTTTAATTCTCTTAATAATAGGTTCGAGATATTACAAAAGAGTTGAGGATACTCGTTGTAGTTTTCATCTAAAATTTGTTTCGGCTTGATGAATATGCTTAGTGTAATTATAGTTGAGCATCATTACAAAGTTGACATATTCAATGCTGTAATAAATTCTCAATTGCAAGAACTAAATAATAAATTCAATGATAAAACGATAGAGCTACTCATTCTTAGTTCGGCTTTAAATCCTAGAAAAATGCATATATCATTTAGGATTGACAACATTTGTAAGTTGGTGCAAAAATTTTATCCTCAACTTTGCTGATCATTAAAAACTACAATTAAGGATATAATTTAAACATTTTAATTATGTACAAAATCATTTTAATGTTGAAACATTGTCAACTATATCTAATTTGTGTCAAGCTTCGTAACAAGATTTAAGATGATTTTCTTTTTGATTGTTTGTTAGTATATATTGAAAAAGAAATTACTAAAATTTTAATATAAAATTGCTTATAAATGATTTTCATAACTTGAAATAACGAAAATCTCTATTTTGAATTATTATATATTAAGATTATTTTAAAACATACGTTGATATGTTATTTATATTTATATTATATCTAAACTTGCGTAAATCATAACAAATTTATAAATCTTTATTTTGACCCTTGTGGATATTTGGCCTTGGTCTTGCGTCTGCCACTAGCTTGAAATGGATACTCCTGCCTTAGAAATAAACAAAGGCATCTTCTGTCACTAACTCTTTTTTGCTACCAAGAGATTAAGTAAATCTTTAATACACTAAATGACTGATTGATCAAAAACTTCGCGTATAAACCTTCAAGTGATCTGGAAATTTGACATCATCGATTTCAGCTCGACATGTGATCATAAGATTCATAACTACGTCGTAGGGGTATTTATACTTCCAGCAGGTCTGTTAGATGGTTAACGGAAGGATGGCATACAAATTCATAGGCAATGCTTTGCCCACAAGCAAAGACATTAGTACAATCATACGCGTTGGGCATCACCATTGTCAAAGAGTTTTTAACCCAAATTTGAGATGTGGCAGGGAGGGGGTGTCATGTAATTGTCGGCTGTGAGACTACGAATTGCGTTTAACGCTTTCTTCAACACGAGTGAGGGCATCTGTGAGCACATCAATTGTCCAATCCTTCAAATCTTCCTGCAGATAACAAGTGAAAAATCATCAAACACCACGGTTTGCATTTGCATGAAAGTACCATGGAAGAGAAACATATTTTGTTTGTTATTTTGCTAAAAAGATGAGAAAGCTGTTCAAATAAATGCACAGTGGAAAGCAGAAACCATTTTCTAATTCTCAAATCATCAGATTAACAAGATTAGAACAATTTACTATACCGATTGTAGCATGAATGCAGAGAAGGAAAAGGAACAATAAACGGAAACCTTGGTATGCAAGAACAAAGAGGGTCATCCAAGGTAACAACACCGATGAATGAGGCGAAGAAACTTCAAAACAAACCATGTTATGAAAACAGTCAAAACCATCAACTACCAGTGTAAGATATTCATTTCTGGGGTAAGAAGCAAGAGCTGCATTAATGATGTTCACTACTGTTTAATGTTAATCGTTTCTGTAAGCACAATAATTAGCACCAGATAGCTGGCTTACTGCTGAGAAACTAGCAACTTGCAGAAACATGCATACACAACTAATAATTCCTCATGCTTAGTATAAAAAAATTTTCAATCGCCCAAACAACAGTTCTTGAAAGGCTAGGAGAGGACCCTGCAAGTTTTGCATATCCCAAAAAGGATGGATGAAGCCAGGCATTTCGTTTCTTTTTTTCTTTCAAGAATGAGACCACACAATTGTTGAAAACATTTGAAAATGACATTATTAGACATCGAGCAAGCCACTAACTAGATTGCATCTGTTGAGCATCATGTCCACCACTACATCAACTTCGATTGAGTGACTTTGACAGACAAAAAGAAACACATTTTGAAATAGCACATAGTCATGCAATTTCAACATGAGATTCACTGAGAAAGCAATGCCAAGATAAAATTTGTCATCAATTGATTGTTTCCTTGCATCAGGAGAATAAGGGATGCAAAATTAAGCAAAGATGTGCAACTAGATATCAAAATAAACAACACCAGAGTAGCCTCCTTCAAAAATTTCATGCATTCATAACTAAAGTTGGCCATATCATATTAGCAAACTAGCAAGTGCAGTATTCCCTGATATATTATCAAAGCAACCCCTAAGCAACATATCTCCCCAATATTTTCGAATAGCACACATGATGGATGACGACATAGTCTATGGAAATTTTTAATTTAACAAACTAAAAGGTAGTCAATTGCGTTGAGATAATAAGCTTTGTAGCATGAGTATGCATCCTCCTACCCCTTACATATTGGCATACACCTGGACGTCCTCGTATAAAGGCTGCATTGCTGCTTGTGGTATCAAGGACAAAAAATCCAGCAAACACAACATCACGGTCATCCATTAACTAAAAAATGGGTGACAAATTGCTACTATACGATAACCATGTATTATAGATCACTTATTAATGGGGGGAAAGATGTGAGCAAATGAATGCACTCGCTATCTTTACAATCATTCCTATTATGGACATGTGTTTATCAGCCAAACTAGATAATGAAGTAGTGATGAAAAGAATTGGATGCCTCACCATGCGCACCGGTTCTTCGGTTCTTATGCGTGCATTAGGACGAGCAAGCTTGGATTCAAAAGGAGTCCTCGGCCTCACTTCTCTGAATTCCACCCATTCCTCACGACTAAGCATCCTAACTGTCCCTTGACCAACTGGAGCATTCTTAATTTTGCGCTCTATCATTTCTTGCGAGTGTGAATCGTCATACTTGAGTTCAATTAACAAAAGGAAAAAAATCAATAAATTTCCTTGAGTAATCAACAAAATTCCAAAAACCAATCAAAATCGGAAGGTCACGACATACCATCATGAGCAGCTTTGCAACGAGTGCAGTTCCAACAACAGTGAGAATCATAGGCATAGTTGCAGTGTCAAGGAATGACATGGATTCCGGAACCTGGACAAAAATGTCGTCTTTTTTTTTAGATTTCTTCTTTGACCTCCTTATTTTCTCCAATTCCGTTATTCTCCTCTTCAATGTCTCTGTGGGACCATCACGGGACACTGTTGTATGCAAGTGTCTTCTACACGACATAACTGCTTTCCTAAACCCTAAACCAATTCCACCATACATGATTATTCTTCCTCCTCCTCCTTGTGAACTCTTACTCCTAGAAATAATGCAGTCAAGACTCGTCACGCAATGGACTCAACCCCAACTGAATCAGACAGAGAGAGAGAGAGAAAGAGAGGTGTACCTTGCAGTTATGATCAGAGATTTTATAAATGAATTTAAAAAAATTAGGGTTTAAATAACGATCAGAGAAGGAAAGATGTAAGAGAAGGAGGGAGGTCTGATTTTTGTACTCAGCCGTATATAGCCATCGTGAGCCCAGCCCATTAACGCAATCATGACTAAGCCCTTTCACTGAGCCTCCGTTAAAACTTCAGATTGTGTTTGGTTTGGAGTTTAAAATTTGGATAGAAAATGTTAAAGGGGTGTTTGGCATCCGCAATATGTTTGGTATCATTTTTGTTTTTTAAATTGGGACGGGTGAAATGGTGAAGGGGTGGTGTGCATGGTTCAGAGAGCATAATATTTGAGAGATAGCGGTGCACATGGATTCCTTGCTCTGTTGTTGTGGGGTAAGTCATCGTAATTAATTTTTGTATCAATACCATAAATCTTAAAATGGCTTTCAAAAACAGGAAATTAAAAAAAAGAAGGGTTTTTATTTTTTGAAAAATGTAAAACAAAAAAAAATATAAATGTTATCAAACATCCTCTAAAAGAGTTAGATTTAAAAATGAAGTGTTAAGGATATATTAAAGAAAAAAGGTGTAGAGTCATGTATAGAAATGTTCGTAAAATGTGATTATATTATAGATAATAGTGAGTTCTAATAAAAGTTAAATCAAATTTTAAATTAAAAATAATTATAAAGAATAATTTATATATGTTTGTGCTAAAAAAAAAATAGACCTTCCCTTCTTCCTAAATAGACACCAAACACAAGCGGGAAGCTGCAAAATTACCTTTTTACTAAATATATTCTTAAAAGTTGAGTCCACGTAAAATTTTCTCTTCTTTTTTTCTTCTCTTCTCATTAAAACATATAATAGTAGCTTTTTTTTTCTTCAATAACATCTTAAGCATGATTTAAAATTTTATATGTATTGCATAAATTTATGTAGAGGAGGTTCTCGAGAACTGATCGGATTATTGATCGGCAGAACGATCAAGATATAAAGAGTTGATGTTATGACTTATAAAAATAACGGTCAACCAACCAAATAGATACAAATAATGAGAGACGTGTGAGCATAAACGAGCAATGCTAACAAGGCATAAGTTGTGTTGCTAACGAGTGGATAGTCAAAGTCCAAATAGATAGAACTTTAGATATTATTTAGTGTGTAAGTGGGAGAGTTTTAAAATGAAAAGTTGAAGATTTCTTTACTCGGTGATTAAAAGTTATGAAGTCAAAAGTTTTGATTCCCTCAAAATGATATGAGGTTAGTATTTATAGTGAAAGAAGATGGCCCTTGATTGCTAAGATCATACCCCGTCATTCAAGTTTAAACGATCGGACTTGGCTTGAAAGATTTAAGTTTTTTGGATTAAACTGCTTCAACTTAATAGTAAAGGCTAAAAAAAGCAACAATTGAACCATCCTTTAAAGGATCCCGCTCCGAACCCACTATGTCAATCCTCCTATTGCATCTCAATGACAAAACATGCACATTGACCTTGCCGAATACCCATGTATATCATTACGACCCACAACCTTGTGTTAGATTAAGTCTATTCTTAATTCAATTCGTTTATCATATAATTTGAACCAATGTCAAAATCAAAGAAAAATAATATGGATTAATACATAATAAAAACGAGCTAAATTAATTAATTTAAATACAAACATATATATGTAGCCTCTTGTATAGACAACCTTGTCGGCATAGGTGTTTATGCAACCATGTATAGCAAAATTGAGAAAAAGAAAATAATAATAAGAATAATAGCAAGTGATAACAATAATAATATAGTCTTCTTGACCTTCCAAATCTAAAAAGGATTCATTAAGGGTATTATGGAAATTTTAACTTTCTTAACTACCAATATAAAGGAAAACCCTAAGTTGTCTAAAGAAAACTTTTGCTTTATTATTTTATGAGTTGAGAGAAAAATTAACAATTCGGATCTCTCTTTCAAAATTTATGAGAACATTACTATGGCTTTAACTTTCATGACACGCAAACAAATAAAAGGTAAGCTTCATGCAATTAATTTAATTATTTCATTTTTTAAGTAAAAGAAAAAGGATTGATGTTGGGTGCATAAACTAGCATACACTCTAGTAGCAATTTGTTGCTAGCTAAAACACAACAACGACAGAATGCTACTAGCTGTTGGGTACACCAGACAACAAATGGTTATTGATTGCTACACGTGCTTGTAGCAATATGTAAACCCTCATGTATTTTTTTTTCAAAATATATTTATTATTTTATGTTTTATTTGTTTTGACTAGAAATTCTTATGGTCATTTTATTTTAATTATTATTTACATAATTACACTAATAATTTGATCTTAATACTTTATTTTGGTCTCCGGCCAACCACCTCAATTTGACCTTACCATTCCACTTTAGTCTCTAACCGAGCACTCAAATCCGGCCTTGTCATTCAACTTTTTCTTTGACTAGTCACTCAAATTTGGCCCCGGCACTCCATTTTGATCCCCGACGAACCATTCAAATTTGGACTTGCCACTTTATTTTGGTCTCTAACTAGCCACTCAAATTTGATCTTGTCATTCCATTTTGATCCCTCACTAGCCATTCAAATTTGGTCTTGGCACTCTACTTTGACTCCCGACTAGCCACTCAAATTTGGCATTTACACACCACTTTAATCATTGACCGGATACTTAAATTTGAACTTACCACTCCACTTTGATCTTTGACCAAACACTTAAATTTAGATTTGCTATTCTACTTTGATACTTAACCAACCACTCAAACTTGTCATTACCACTCCATTTTGGTTAATAACCAGCCACTCAAACTTGTCTTTGCTACTTTACTTTGGTCTCCAACCAACTACTCAAATTTGGACTTACCACTTCATTTTAATCTCCAACCAACGAACTCAAATTTATCCTTATCACTCGATTCGATCCCTAGCTAGCCACTTAAATTTGTACTTGCCATTCTACTTTGGTCCTTGACCGACCACTCAAATTTAGATTTGTAACTCCATTTTAGTCCTTTATCAACCAGTCTAATTTATACTTAACACTCTATTTTGATTTCTAACCAATCACTCAAACTTAGACTTGCCACTCTATTTTAGTTCCTAACCAACCACTTAAATTTGAACTTGTAACTCTTCTCTAGTTCTTAACCAGCCACTCTAATTTAGACTTAACACTCTATTTTAGTTCCTAGCCAATCACTTAAATTTGGACTAAGCACTCAAATTTGTCCTTCTCCTAAGCGATAATACTAATTCACTTTTGTCAATCACTATTATTTTGCTTCCATTGCCACATCATTAAAAATAAAACTGAATACATTTCATCTTTCATACTTCTTATTCCACACACCATCCAATACAAGCAATTAATTTTAATTTTAATTATTATTATTTTTTAAGACAAACCGTGGTAACCAACCTTTTTTAATAAAGAGCGAGTGTTAGCTAACTTTTTTTTTTTTTTTTTATGATAGGGAGTTCTTACTAGTTCTTTTTTATGGCAAGCAATTAGCCATCATTTTTTTTTTTTTGTAATGGGATTTGCTAAAAAAAATAATTAGAGAACTTGATTAATAGATAGACGGTCATCAAGTGTCATACTAGATGTGCTCACTTATTACTTACTTGATCGATAGATAACTCTTAAGTATCATACTAGATGCACTCATCTCGCTACTTCTCTGCTAAAAAATAGATAAGTATATTGACTTCTTCTTTTTTAGTGAAAATTTAACAAGAAGGTAATCCTAAGTGAAAAGACTCATCGGTATAAAATCTATTCTTGAAAATAGTAATGATCTCAACATATAAAAGTTTTTTTTTAATGAATATATGGATTAGTCTCACAATTTTTCGAATCTTGAATGTCATTATTTTAAGTAAATAATTAAAAAGATAATCAATTCTCTAGTGTTCCTTAACCCCTTCTCAAATTTTCACTCCATCAATCGAGGAGGGGAGGAGAAAGCTTCTATTGAATGCTCAACTAGTTATGATGGGATAGAAATAAATATAATATATATTTTTGTTTATTCATGGCTTTATTGACACATAACTTGACTAGATGGAATCATGATATTGTTATTGAAAAGTATAACTTAACATGAATTATGACATTTTCATTACTTGACCGAGTGCGTAGCTTGGCTAGAAGAATAGGCATTTCCATTAGAAAAAAAATTGAGTCTAGAATACTCACGAGTTTGATTAGTGTCGGCTTAGCCATATGAATATGGTAAAAAAAATTAAGTATGAAATACTCACGATCTAGCCAATGTGTAGCTTGACTAAAGGAATCATGGCATTGTCATAATAGATAAAAAATGAGTATGAAATACTCACAACTTGGCTAATACACGAGCTTTAACGAGATAAATATGTTATTGTCATTAGAAAGAAAAAGAGAGAGTATGATATACTCATGGCACTGGTCGATACGTAGCTTGGCTAAATAAACATAGTATAAACAAATAAATACTCACAACTTGGTCCGGCCAACGTACGGCTTGACTAGAGGAATCATGGCATTGTCATAAGAGACTCGAAAATGAGTATGAAATACTCACAACTTTGACCAATGCACAACTTTCATAAATAAATATGGTGTTGCCATTAGAAAGAAAAAAAGAGTATGATATACTCACGGCTTGGTTAATATAAACATAGCATTGCAATAAAAAAGAAAAATAAAGTATGAAATACTAATAGCCCGACCAAGCATACAACTTGATCAAATGAACATGGCATGACCATTAGGAAGAAAAGATGATTATGAAATACCCACAACCTAACCGAGTGCACGACTTGGTCGGATGAATATGGTGTTACCATAAGAAAAACTGAGTATGAAATACTTACCATTTGACCATCGTGTA